CCGAGACCCCAGTGTGGCCCCCCTGGTGCTGCTTGGCCCCAACGACTTCATGCTGCCCAGCCCCGAGGCCTGCCAGCCCCGCGCCCCCTTCCTGCTGGTGCTGGTGGCCAGCGCGCCTGCCCACGCGGGGCACCGCGAGGCCATACGCAGGAGCTGGGGGGGCGCCCGCCGGGCCTCTGGCTACCCCGTGCGCACACTCTTCGTCCTGGGGCTGCCGGACTCCAGGGCGGAGCAGGCGGCGCTGGAGCGGGAGGCGCAGCAGCACGGAGACCTGATGCAGGGCCGGTTCCACGACACCTACGCCAACCTGACCATCAAGACCTGCATGCTGCTGCGTTGGGCAGCCGCCCTGTGCCCCGGCGCTGCCTTCGTGGCCAAGGTGGACGACGACGTCTTCCTGAACCTGCCGGCGCTGGCCCACCACCTGGGCAGCCTTGCCAACCCCCACGGGCTCTACTTGGGCCGGGTGCACTGGTGGGTGCACCCCAACCGCGACCCCCACAGCCGCCACCATGTGCCGGTTGCGGTCTTCGCGGGTGCTGCCTTTCCTCCGTACTGCAGTGGGACGGCCTACGTGCTCTCAGGCGACGCCGTGCGGCGGGTACTGGTAGCCGCGCCCCATCTGGTGGCTGTGGGGCCTGAGGATGTCTTCGTGGGGCGCTGCGCTCACCGCACAGGCCTGGCCCCCACCCACACCGCCCGCATGGGCGGTGCCACCCGCCTGTCACTGGATGCCTGCTGCTATGGCCAAGTGCTCTTCAGCATCCATGGCGTACAGCCTGCCCAGATGGGTCATGCCTGGGGGCTGCTGGGGGGACGTGGCTGGGGGGAGGGGCCGGAGGAGCCCACTGGGCTCTGCAGCCCGTTACAGTGGGGTCTGGGGCTGCTGCGCTGCAAGGTGCTGGCTCTGTTTGAGAAGCTGTGATAAAAAGGTGGGGAGGGGGACCTGGGTTTTCTAGAGAGGGTGCTGGGAACCTATGGAAGCTGGGCTCTCCCCTAGCTCTGTCAAGGAGCGGGGGCTGGGGGTAGGGGGGTGCCCAGACACTTGAGTTCTCCCCCAGTCCTGGGAGGAGACGGCCTGGGGGTGGGGGGCTGGGGTAGCAGAGGAGCCTGCACCCCTCTGTTCTCTCCCAGGGCTGGGAGGAGAGGGGCCCAGATGTCGGGGCGGGGGTACAGGTGAGTTAGGGCAGGAAGCTGGATGCCTGGTTTCTTTCCCCACTCTGGGAAGACATCGGTGCAGGGGTGCGGCGCAGGGTGGATGTAAGGGGGTTAGCTGGGATACGGGAAATGCACAACTCGCAGGGCGGGGTGGGCACCCGGAGTCCTGGGTTCTGCATATGATGTTACCTCTACCTCAGTCACTACCTCTTGCTGGTCCCTAGTTGGGGG